TGGGGGGGAGCACCCAAGGGCCTCAGCTCTAGGGTCTCGTTCCCAATGAGCCTCTGGGGTGTTTGGGGTCGTCATTCTCTCTCCTCGTCTACACTGGAAAATTCTACCATAAAAACCTTTTAAAAGCCTGGCTCCTCCCGGGTCCGCACGGCACCGGGCACAGGGCGGCCTGGCTCAGAAACAAGGAGGGGCGAACACTGAGAACCCGGAGGGTCCCAGCCACCTTCCCCGCCTGTCAGGGTGGACGAGCTGGTAACCGAGCAAGCCCCACCAGCCCTGCCCCTCCCAGGCCCGCACCTCCTGGTCGTGGGTCCCCACCTGCTGGGCCCACACTGCCGGGCAGGTGTCGGCACTCACCGCCTGGCCACAGGCCGCTCCCCCTCCGACTTCCTCAGTCCCCCGCGTGGAGAGCTAATTGGAGCCGGCTGGGGGCACGGCCTCGGGTCTCCAGGGCTGACCTGGGCCCCCCCCCCCCCCCGCCTCTGTCTGCTCACCACCCGGACGCTGAGGGGACTCTCGTAGGAAATGTGAATGGAGGCAGGGAGGGGTCACCGTGTTCCCAGCATTCAGCGAGGCCCCCTGGAGACCTCATTCCCCCCAGGAGGCGGCCGCCCGGGCACAGCGCCCACTACCTGCCCCCAGTGGCGAGGCTGCCCCAGGGAGCAATGCCGGGGGGCACTTTCCAAAGCCCACACACCAGGAGCTCCGGGCCGGGAGGGGCTGGGAGGGGCTGGGAGGGCCTGCAGGAGTGGGGCCCTGCCGCACCCCAACTCTGTCCCAACTGTCGCCCTCCTCTCCAGGGCCCCCTCCACAGAGCGGGGTGAGGAAGGGAAGGAAATCAGGTGAGGGAGGCTGTTTCCCAGCGGAGGGAGAGGAAGGAGCGGCGGCCGGGGTGTGGGCCACAGGGGCAGAGGCACACCCGGGGCCCTTCCCAGCTGCAGGGTCCCAGTGTGGGGGGACCGGGTGGCGGACCGCCGGGGTCAGGCCCCTGTCCCACCCCGTCCTGGGGAGCAGGATGAGGGCCTGGCTGCCTGCCCCCGAGGCTGGGGAGGGACGCAGGTTGGCCTGGTGGTGACCAGTGAGAGGCGGGCTGGGCCCGAAGCAGCGCCGCGCCGCCCCTCGGGCGTGTTCTCCACAACCCGAAATATTCTCGTGGGAGCCTGGCTTTCAACTCACACTGAGATCACAAGTGATAGTGGAAGTGAGCGCACAGCTAAGAAGCTGATTTTTTTCTGAAGATATTTTCATTATTTGATAAGGATTTAAATGGATTTTAACTACCTCCCCAGATAGTTCTTCTTAAATGTTTTAATTTTAAGACCTTCCTGGCTTAACAAGTTGTATACGGTGCATGATCAGGTTGTATACTCCCTCTGCCATCTGGGCACTGGTCTTAAGGAGATGGGACTACAACAGTGATACCTCTGCTGGGTAATTCAGTGCAGCCACCCGGCTGGGCTGGCTTCTTCCCAGCTCCCGCTGGTGGGGGGACCGGCCCTCCCTGGGTCCCCAGACATGCCCTCTCCATAACCTGTCCCCACCCTCCGGCCCCACAGGTCCAGGAACCAGTCACGCCTAGGGCAGCCCTGACTCAAGGTCCCCTCCCTGGACTGAGGATGTCACTCACGCCTTCTCTGGGGCAGCCGCGTCTCGCCTGGCCCTGCCTCCCATCAGCCCCCCGAGATGGGAGGGGCCATGCCAGGCCCCCCGCTGGCCACCAGACTCTCTGGGCCCAGACTTGCTGAGCTTGGTGCAGGCCTGGAGAGAAGCAGGGGCCGGGGATACGCCAGCTCCATGCCCCCGAGCCCCAGAAGACATGAGGTTGGGACCCCCAGGGCCTTGTGCACCCGGGGGGGACAGGGTGCAGGAGCCCTGAGTGTGGAGCCCGCCCTGGCTCTCTTCCCAGTGTGACTCCCAGCAGCCACCTCCCTGCAGTGCCCGGTGCGTCTGTGACAGGGGCGACCCCTCTGGTGGCCCTGGGGCTCCCTCTGCGGTCGCAGGAGTGGGCAGCCAGACACAGTGGGGGGACATCTGCCAGGTGTCCGTGGGGGAACACGGAGCCACCTTTGCCTCTGTAGGAGCGCCCCCCAGGTCTGCGGCGTCCCCGTCCCACTCCACCTCCTCCCCACGGGCGGCTCCCGGACAGTCGGGCTGTGTCTCTCCACTCCTGCCCCCGGGACCACCAGGGCTGTGGCCTCGTGGGACTCAGCACGTGCAGTCACCACGCTTGCGCCTGTTGTGCTGCCCGCACGGCAGCAAAAGGGCAATGGCAGGGGACTCAGCGGCCGTGACCCCTCCAGACAGAGGGTGAGCCCTGTCGATGACCCAGGCTCTGTCCTGGCCTCCGGGCTGCCAGGGTCAGGCCAGCCTCGGAATAAGGGGTCTCGTGAGTCAGCCCGGGGACCAGCCCTGCCGGCCGCCGCGCAGAGCCCCCCGGGCAGAGTGGACCGAGCGCTGCTTCCCGGCACTGGCGGTGTGGACACGGCCGAGCAGCGGGGCCTCTGTGGGCCGTTCCGGCTCTAAAATGCAGTGTGTGTTGCACAGAGATGACGCCCAAGGCAGAAACATTTATTATGTGCAGGAGCACAGTAAATACTGCTTTTACATCCTGACAAAACCTAAAAACCCAGGATGTTTTGTGGGCCCCTTTTATGTCTTCCTGTTACGGCCTCAGTCTGGTGATTTGGCCAAAATTTAGTGGCAGTAAACATGAGCCACAGTGACGCGGTCCCCGACGCCGGACAGTGTTGGCACTTACCGGCCCCGCTGTCCTGAAGGGCCCCGCTCAGACCAAAACCGCCAACACGCAGAGGAAGGCTTCCCAGGAAGTGGGTTTGCCGCGCGCTCGGACTTCCGCGTGGGGGCCCCATGAGATGAGGTCCCTCTGCTCACGTCCCGGAGGCCCAGGCGCCGCACAGAGTAAGGGGAGTCTGCAAACGCATGTGGGGGCAGAGGGCACGCCCGCTCGCCCAGCCTGAGCCACGGAGCCCGGGTGGGGTCTGCACCCCACCTCCCTGCAGTGCCTGGTGCCGCAGGCGAGGGGGACTTGGAGCTGGTAAAAGCGACTCGTTCCTCAGCACACTCTGCCAGAAGGTGCCTTATCGTACACAGCGCCTGGGACACCCGCCTCTCACGGCCCCAAGGGCAGAACCAGGGAGGACCACGGAGATACCCATCTCTGACAGGCATGACGAGCCAAGCACCATGGACCCACTGAAGCCAGCGCCGTGCCCTTTCTGCAGGGGACAGAGAGCGGGAGGGGCGGGACGGGATCAGTATCACAGGTGGGTGCGCACCGGGCCGCACCCTGCACACCAGCTGCACCTGCAGGGAGAGAACACTCTGACTCGTGGCTCCAGAGCCACACAGACCTGGGGTGTGGGGGGGGCTCTAGTGTCTCCACGGGGGTCGAGTGCTGCCATGTGTGTGGGTCAGATGACAGTTCTGGGTGGGCCACTCAGGTCACAGCCACTGGGAGCTCATCACGAGCGTGTCAGGAAGCCAGCTGGCCCTTCCAGTGGGTGGTAGTGGTGGCCAGGAGGGACCGGCGTCCTGCTGAACCCCAGGGGCCCCCCGAGGCTCCTCATTGCAGCTGCCCAGCACCCCTACCCCTGGGGAGACGCTTCTCTGAGCTGCTTCCCTGAGCCCCGGGCGTGACGGCTGCTCCTCCCGGCAGGCCTCTGCTGGCTGGCCTCACCAGACAGGTGACAGTCTCACCTGTCACAGCTGGCACTTCCTTCCATCCAGTGACCCTGTTCCCTCACCAGGGGGCTTCCAGTCCCCAACCCAACCCTGCTGATCGGAGCTGAGGTGCTTCCCCAGAGGCCACCACCGCAGGGATGTACTGGGTACCACCCACTGGGCCTCGGCCACACTGAGCCCGCAGAAGCCACCGCCCAGGAAGTGACCCACCAACAGCACTGGCATTAAGACCAGGGCATGACTCACGAGGGAGAGAACCGCCCCCTTGCCCTGCTACGTCCTAATACATGGGGCAGGGTCCTTGTGGGGGTGACGGCCCTGAGGCGTCACTGTGCAGGAGGGACAGACAGTGCGTCATCGGACGCTCCGTAAACCTGGGAATGAACAAGTGCCTGCTCAGAGACTTAAGGGATCAGCCGATCACCTGGGGGTTCATCAGACATCACTCCACCCAGGACCAGCCAGCTGGGAAGCAAGATTCTTGTGTGATTAGGACTTACACCGCCCATTCCCACAACCGTAAATGTTTTGTGACTTCTTCAAAATGGAGTGCCTTCAACTATAACCCAATTTTGCCACTTATGGTTGTGTTGGAAGTGTTAGCCACAAAAGCACATTGGTTTAAAATATTTATTACTTAAAAAAATTTAAAATTTTTTTATACAAAGATGATGAGAAAAGTCTCATGCACACTCTGGGCATACGATAAAAATAACTCAAATATCATTTGATGGTTTTGTACAAAATAAATCTTTCTCAGGGGGACCTCGGGCAGACAGCGCAGCCCCTGCTCCAGGCCCAACACCCGGGGAATCGGGCGGTCGCACCTGGTGGGCTCCGCGGTCCAGGGGCCCGCGGTCTGGGGGTCCTGATGCGCACAGATGTCGCTATGACAAATGGTAACGGGCTCTATTGCTACTACTCAGAAAACCGGACCGAGACGCGAGGACACTTGAGTGAGACACCAGGCCCTCCTGAGGAACCGAGGGGACGGGCCCTGCTCTCGGAGAAGCCTCAGACCCCCAGCTCACCTCCCAAAAACGCCCACGGTGGCTGCGGGCGCCTCCTCCTGCCGAGCCACAGATCCGTGGTGGGTTCGTCACTGGTAGGTATCACGAGTCATTTGCATAATTAAAACGACTACGGGATCAACGTGTCCTGGTGAGTAGAAAGGCGAGGAAGTACAAAGGAGCTTCAATATGAAACAGCAACCCTCTGAGGGCGGGCGCGGGCCGGGCCCCCCGCCGGCCCCACGGCCGCCCGCCCCGCTGAGCCTCACTGCCGCGTCTCCCACCCACTCATCTCATCTTCCGCAGCCGGAGCCGGTTTTCCTTGTCTCGCCTCTTGAGCATCAGTATGAACTGGTTGAAGAAGTGCTCCTGGTCCTTCCTTTTCTGAACCAGTCGGAATCTCTGGTCCCGGCCGTGCTTCTCAGCAAACTCCTTAAACGTGGTCCTGGAAAACAGAAAGTCACTGAGCCGAGAACCCAGAGCCGGTCCTGGGGCCACACAGAGGAGGAAGAGGAGAGGGCCTTCCTCCTGCCCCACCTCAGCTGGGCGCTGGGCTGGAGGGGCAGCTCTGGGCCTCCAACACCTGCCGCCTGATCCCCATGCCGGGCCCCTCCCCCTCGGCCCGTCTCATCAGACGCTGCAAGTGAGCCCCGCCCCCTGCCCCTTCGGCCTCCTCTGGCTCTGAGCCCGCCACTGCCCACCCGCCCCCATCACCGGTCAGGCCGAGGGGGTCCCCTTCGGTCCCTTGCTCTCACCAACCACCCCCCTGTCTCGGGTTTTTGCACACTCTTCCCTCTGCCTGGGTGTGTGTTGGCTGTGTCGACATTTCACCAGTGGGTGGAAAACATTACCTAAAAGTCCAGAACAGTGACGGTGGCAAGGACAGCGACGAGGAGGGCGGGCACTACCTCCCCAGGCTTTTATCCCCACAGGCAGCCCCCACCCCAGCCTGCGACTCACCCTGGGGGACAAGGTCAAGGGCCCCATTCAGAAAATGACACCAAACCTCATGAAAGCCCAAGGCCTCACCCCTTGGCCAGGGCCTGGGGTGGCGCAAGGCCAGGCTGTGCCCTGAAGCTGGGGCTCCGGGACCAGTTTCCCAGCCCCACCCTGTGCCTCCTGCTGGTCACCATGTGAGGGGACATAGGGAAGCCACAGCGAGACCCCACCCAGGCCTCCCTCTCGAGGCTTCGTCCCGCAGAAAGCCGGGACTCATGGCTCGTCACGCACGCTTGCCTTTTGCGATACAGGAGATTTATGCTCATTTTCACACCTGGAAAGTGTCTGTCCTTTGAATTCTCAAAGGTTTTATGAGGGCTACGTGACCAAGACCAACCCACGCTATCCAATTACCGACCTGGCGAATTAACCAATTATCAAAAAAATATGGAAACCTACATTCATAGAGAGCAAGCATCACTAAGGTCCACTTAAAAACTAATGTTGCATTTATGCATTTTATACTTAATAAAAATGCATAAATGTCCATTTAAAATAATACCCCAATCTAAAAAGCGCATCAAAAGCAATCATTTCATATTATTATAGTTTTAAAATTCTAGAAGTAGTACATGTTCATTATTTTAAATATCATCCAATTAAAGCTAATTTTAAAGAACAGTTAAGCTTATGTACTTTCCTAATTACTAACAGCTACTGTCCCACTAATGCATTGCAGTTCACGCCCATTAATTTGGGATGAGTTCTGGCAACCGGACCACTGGGGCCTGTCAGCTGCGTGTGGGGTCTTCAGGTCGCACTCAGGCGTCAGGAACCAAGGAGCTGGGGGTTGCTTTGCTGCCCTTTGTCTTGCATCCTTGCTCCTTGCCCCTCAGATCGGCAGTCAGACCACCTCCCAGGAGGGTCACCTGCTGGTTAGCTGGTTAGCCCCTGACACGCAGGGCCGGACACAGGTCTGTGTGTTTGGCTCGCTGGTAGGTCCCCGGGCTGGGCAGCCAGGGAAGGGGGGCCTGAGTCACTGGCTGACCACACAGGGGGAGGCAGACCCCTCCCCAGGGTCCCTAAAATCACACGTCTGTTGTCTGTGGACAGCTGGGTCCCCTGATCTAGCCGAACACACGGGACAAGCCCCCTTACAACTGGGAGTCCCCAGCCCCAGGCACTGCCGGGCGCATTTCTCTCTATACCTGGGCGACACTTTCGATTCTTCCAGAAGTTTTTTGAACTCTTCTTTGGCTAGCAGCAATTTACTTTTCTTTTCCTTGTATTCTTCTTTTATCCTTGTCTTGACAAACTGCTCAAATATCTGAAAGCACACAAGAGACACGCCCTGGGAGGCTGCAGACCAATACTGAAGCCCCATATTTCAAACACCACCTGAAACTCAGCAAGACCGGGGGTGGCCTTTCTCTACTCGGGGCTGGAGCTCCAAGCCGCCGCCTTCCTGAGACGTCACTGCCTGGACTCCGCTGGAAGCCCACGAGGCCAGTCTGCACCATCCCGGGGATGACACGGAACCAGCCTGGGGATGACCGCCACCATAAAGACCTGGCAGTGTGGTGACTCCAGCGTGGGGCCACCGGATTTCCGCTCTGGAGCCCGAGGGCAGGCCTGCGGTCACCTCCTGCCGACTCTCCCATCAGAGAGCCAGGGGCGCCAGTAACAGGTAGAGAACGTCATTTGTCCCAGTCAACTCTCACCTCAAAGCGTTGTCATCCAAGTCCACCCAGCGTCCAGCTCTGCCCACTCTGGCCTCCACAAAGACCCACATGCGAGTGTGGGTGCCAGGGACAAGGACAGTCCTGAGGAGTCACAGAGCCCGACCCTCGGCCACGGCAAAGCCTGACCCTTCTCCGAAGGGACGCGGACACCCAGACAGGCAAGCCCCGCAGCCGGCGGCACGCCACAACACGGCACCTCTCCGGCGTGGTCGCTTCGGGAGAGCGGCCTCATCAGGCCGGGACGGCTCGCTGTTCTAGTGCCGGGAACAGGGCCCTGGAGACCCCGAAGCCAGCGAGGGGGAGGGACCTGCTTCGTCCCCGTGGGCAGGGAGCCTCGAGAGCATGACAAGGCACAGACGTGGGAGGTCATTTGAAGGTGTGCAAGCGCGCACAAGATGAGTGGAAACCCCACGTGTGGCCCCGCAGGACCCCGAACGCGACATCTGGGGCTCCCCCAGCTGGCGGCTATGGCCGATACTGAACTTGGATGTGGGCGCTGGGGGTCTTTCGTGGGGGCTCCGCAGCCCTTTCTCTGGGTCCAGAGTGCAGTGGCCGAGGCGAAGCCCCCACAGGATCGGAAATAAGGCTGCTGGGCGCCTCCTGGAGGCTCGGCAGGGCGGTGGAGTGCGCATGAGCAGCACACACGTGTATTTAGTTGAGAGCATGACGGGCGGGTCGCGCCTTTAAAGGGAGTGGTAACTGGGCTCCCCGGCTGTCTTGTGATTTCACACGTCTAAAGGGTGAGCACAGGGTCACCATCCAAACTGGAGTGTGTGGCTCCGCTGCTGGTCGGAGTTTTGCTCTATTAATTTTGAATGCGGAGAGAGGCCCCAGCCGGTGGGGGTCAGAGCGGGCCAGACGGATCGGCCGCTCTCCCTGCCCAGGACGGCTTGGCCGCCTAATTGGATCCGCTCTTTCCTCTCCCTTCTCTCTGCTGCTTTATGGAGGCGGCTGCAATTTCACCTCACTAGTTTTTTACCTCTTCAGCGAATTATACCGGTTTTATTTAAAGTGGAGCATGACCGTTCAAAAGACGCACTGTGGGCTCTCGTCTCCTCGTGGCCTGCTCTAAGGCACCATGTCACCATGGAAACCGGTCTGACCGCACGCCCTTGACCCCCAGACTCTGTCTGGGCTCATCCACCTCCCCCCCAGGAGCCCTCGCCTTCACCAGCAGCACACCGTTGGCGGGAGGCCCTGACAGACGTCTCCTGGGATGCTTCTACTCACGAATCGATTGCGTTTTTTGAACAGGGGCCAACGATGGTTTCTCTCATCAGTTCAACCTCAGGTCTGACTCTGCCGCTTGGGTGGGGCAGCTTCTCCCAAAAGCCGGAGTCTGCAGTCCGCCCAGGGCCTCAGCTGCCTGCTCCTGCCCTTCCCCCTCGGGCCTCCGGGCCAAACTCCAGTCTGCAGACGGGCCCGGGGTCCCCCTGGGTGGTTTTCGGGGATGTCAGATGGCTGTCCCCAAGCAGTGCGTTCCCGGTGTGAGTTGACATTCTAGTCTGACCTGTCTGCAGAGCACACACCCAGGTGCAGGCAGGACGTCCCCGCCTGGGAGGCCCTGCCCCGCCCCCCGTTGGTGCCGGCCCTGCCTGGGCACGGCTGGGAAGTCCAGTCACTGAGCTCCCATGGCCTTGTTAGTCCAGGATGGCCTTGTCCCCAGGCCTCGGGACAGCGGGGGCCCCACCCCGAGCAGAACCGGCCGAATGCAGAGAACACATGGAGCCACAGGTGACACCGGTCATCTAAGATGTGACATTAAATCTCCCCCTGGGCTTTTCTTGAAGGTTGAGGGGGTCTCACTCCTTCAGCCTCCTTTAACAGGGCTGCGAGCTGCTAAAAACATCGCGAACGAGAGAATCATGCTGACCATGACCGACAGGTCGGCACGCACGCCCCCCACCCCCAGGCGGACGGCTGCTCGGTCCCAGCCAGTCGGTGTGTAGCAACAGTGGCATCCAGTGCTCCGTCACAAAAACAGATGGGCTGCCTCCTACGTGGCCTCATGGCAGAACGGTTGAACTTCCTGAGGTTTAACGTCTCCATGAAAGGGTGGGCGAGCACCCACGACCACCGTCTCCGGCTCTGCCACTGCAGAAAAGCTCGCGGGGCCCCGAGCTCACACCGAGCCCGGCCTGGTTGGCTTCACGGACGCCACGTGCGTGTCGGCGTATAGGGTCTTCACGATTGACAACCAAACTGAAGTGACATCGTGTTCTGTCCCCCTGCTGTCCGACGTCCCAAGGGTCGGCCTCGGCCACCGAGCCCTCCCGTAAGTGGCTCTCCTGGCTCCCGGGTTTCCGGTGGTTTCTCCCCAAGAACCACTCTCCCTCTGAGTGCAAAGGGCTGAGGGTGGGGGGACAGGAAGAGAAGGCCCAGAGATCCGGATCCCGCCAGAGTGTGTCTCGGGACCCTTCTCCAACGTGCCCCAGGGGCCACCAGATGCCGCCGGGCTGTCTGGCTTCCTCCTCGTGCCGTACGTACGTCCAGTCCGCCCGGGCCCTCTCTGTCTGCCTGCCCCTCTGGGAGGCAGTTGTGGCCCTGCGACCAGGTCTGTGAATGGGCCACAGCGGCCCCGCCGGGCCCGACTTTACAACAGGCCCCAGGTCAGCGACCAGCGATCCAGTCCTGGCTTTTCTGGGGACGTCCTTCCTTCACTTAGGTGACCACTGTCCCCTGGGTCCTCTCCTGCTCAGCACCAGTGCGGTCAAGCTCCGGTCTCTCCGGCACAGTTGTCGGGATGTTCTCACCACACAAGTCACCCAGATGACCTTCCTGTGCCCCGAGCCACACCATCCACGGACCCCGGACGGGAGAACCCATCTGTGCCAGCCCACGGGCCACACCCACCGCCCGCCCGTCACAGCTCCCAGGACGCATCACTCCCGTCGTGTCCCAGGCCGTCCCACCCCGGTACCTGTCTCCGCTCCTCGGAGTTCAGCAGCAGGTAGCGGGGGTCAAACACGATCTTGTGCAGCTCCTTCTCCCAGGTGGAAAAGGCGGACACCTGCAGGGGACATTCCGCAGGGCTGCCGTTAGCGCCTGTGCTGAGCCCACACCCCGCGGAAACGGTCACTGGGAGGGACTGCACGAGGGCCCCCAGGTCACGGCCGAGGGGCCACCTGACAGTGTCACACCTGTCAAACTTCCGAGAAGTCGGTGCCAGGAGCCTGAGGAATCTGACGTGTCCCCCCCCCACCGCCACACCAGAAACCAGCACCTGCCCTGCCCTCACAAACCAGCCCTCCCACTTACCACGTGTCTCTGCAAAGGCAGCCCCATTGGGAACCCGCCCCCTTAATGTGTTTGTCGGGACAAGCAGCGAAGTGGTGACCTCACTGGTGTACCACTCAGTAGAGGTCACCTCCTGCCAGCGGGGACATGTGGTCTCCTAACTGCCCCTCCTCCCACGCCACTCCTCCAGCCACAGCCCCTACCCTCCCGACAGCTCTCTCTCCAGCCCTCGCAATGGCCACCATGCAGCCAGCACCTGGGCCCTGGAGCCCGGTCCCTGTGACCTCCCCGCCTCGCCATGGCTGCCTCCCCGCCAGCCAAGCTGCCCCCCTGCCATGAGCACCCACCCCAGCAGGCAAGAGTCTCACAGATTGCACCCCACACCTGGGGGCTCCTCCACTCCACCTCCGATGCACTCAAAAGTGTGGCCCTTCCACTGGGGGTGGCCGGCGTCTCAACCAGAGCCTGTCGGAAACCCGAGATGAGGGCCCGGTGCGGCTCCTGGGGGGCCCATTTCTGAGGGAGACAGATTCCGTGGAAGGAAAGGGGGCTGAGCGAGTCCAGTGCTGACTGCAGGGTGAGACCGTGGAAGTCCCGTGAGCGCCAGCTGCCCACGGGGACGGTCCTCTCTGTCCATTTCCATCATCCAGACCAAAGGCTGTTGGGAACACGTGTGGATGCCCAGATCCCAGGAGAGGCCGGGGACAAACAGGCCATAGGGAAGAGGGGCAGGGGCCCAGGGATGGCCCCTGCTGGGCCCTGACTCGGAGGATCCACGGGCGGCCTCCCCACATGGCACCCAGTTAAAGCTGGGGGCACAGGGCTCCCCTCTGACGCCGCTGGGGCAGCTGGGGACCCTGTCCTGGTCCAGCGCCCCTCTGTGGGGCCGTCTCTCACACCAGCCTCCTCATGGCCGCCTACCTGCCAGGGTCAGGGGCCCGGCCAGGGCAGCCACCGGCACAGCCGGGTACATGGAGCTGGGGTCCCGGGCGCCGCAGGGGCCTGACTTGCATCCCAGACACAAGTCTGGGTCCTTCAGAAGCTGACCCTTTCCACCGAATTTGACCCCCAGACCCACTGTGCTGGGGGCTCTGCCACCCTCAGGCCCAGTCCCGCAGCTCCGCCTCCAGGGCTCAGGCGGGACTACGGCCCTTGTCTCTAAGTTGTCAGTTTGCCTGCCCACCGCTCCATCCCGCGTCCCACCCTGGCCTCAGGACCACTCGCCTCCACCCAGGGCTCAGCCCGCCCTCCCCAGCCCGCCCTTGGACTCTCCTCCAGGACTACCCCCCACCCCCGAGCACCCAGAGCCACCGCTCACGGCCCTGATGCCCCCAAGCGCCACTTCTGACACGCAGGCTCACGCTCCCTCCGGGCCTCAGCCCCCTCCTGTCCTCAGGCTCAGGCTGATAACAAATGCTGTTCTTGGTAATTAGCGTGCACGCCGTTACCCTCTTTGCCCAGTTTCCTGGAACAGGCTGCCGCGTCTTCCATCTCTGGCTCCGGAGCTCCTGACCATCAGCTTGACGGCGACATGGCCCAGAAAGCAGGAGCCAGGCTGGTGGGGGACGCTGTGCCCCAATTTGCCCTGGACGGCAAGGCGGCATCAAAGTCTGGGTCTCCTGGAGGCAGCCCTGGGTCGGGCAGATGCAGCCGGTGCGCCTGGGAGAAGACTCTGGGCACGCCGGGTCTAGCATGTGGAGGGGGGAAAGCCTCAATGGCACAGGACCCCGGGGAGGGTCACGGAGGACACGCCGGAGCCTGCCTGAGGCTTGCCTCCCCGGGCACAGGGCATGGGGGTTGCGTCCTGGTCGCCACCCCTCCTGGAGATTGGAGATTCTGAATTTAGAGATGGAGCTGGGTGTCCTGAAGGTGGGCGCAGGGGAAGCGAGGGGCCTGGGACACCCCAACTTCCACCACCCACCTTCCAGCACTCGCAGTGTGTCACCAATTTCAGGATTTGTTTGTTTTTCTATTTTGATGGATAAGTGAAGTTGTACAGTTACTCTACAATGTACGTGGCTGACTTAATTGACTCTGAGGGCTGCTGCACGTTAGGGGTCATTGTCATCCATCCGAGGAATCGGTGGGTCATCTTCAAGAGCAGACTCAGTCCAACGCTGACGGAGAGGTGGCGTTGCCTGCAAAGCTGAATGGCGGCCGCTGGTCTGGGAAAGTGGAGAAGCCGGGGAAACATCCCCCCAAGGAAAGGCGATGAGATTCAAACGGTGACGAACACATCCGGCTTCTTACAGATGGGCGCTGGCGGAGCGAGTTCTCAGGGCCTGTGACAAAGGTCGCTGCCGGGAGGGACCTGGCACGAACGCCTCTTCCAGCAACGAGCAGGGCTGCCGGGAGCGGTCCCACCCCGACACGAAAGGTCCTGCATCGGGGGACCGCCTCGGGGACCAATGTCGGGGGGACCGTCGGAGTGCCGGCAGGAAGGGCCAAATTGGGAGACGCACTAAAGAAACGAAGTCGTAGGACTTGAACTGACGATTTACGCCCTCCCCAAAAACACTTTCCAGAAAAATTGTATCCATATTTTAAAAATGCTTAAAAGGAGGAAAGAGGATACAAGTTTATAAATCAGGTTAAGCCTTATGAAATTGACTATTGTATATTGAAAAAATTATTGTTCAGCCACATTTAACGATGTTTAATATTTGTTACACTCGAAGATAAAAATGCTCATTCTGGACTTTTTTTTTAAACCCCGTTATTAAAAAACAGACTTGTAGAAAATGAACCCAATTGATATAACGACTGTCTCTTAGGGCAGCATTTCAGGGCATTTTTTTCTTATTTATACTCTTAATATTTTGCAAGTTTTCCATAATAAGCATGCAGCACTTCTGTGCATAATTCTGTTAGCAGCATTCGCGTGTGTCTTGTGAGATTTTGAGGAGTTGCCATGGGAACGTGAGGCAGAGAAGCTTCCCAAGGAGCAAAGAGTCACCGTGCGGAGCAGACGCTGTGGGCGCCCGGGACTTGAGTCACCCACCTCTCCTGTCCCTCACGTCCAGGGCCACCTGTCCCGCCTTCTGTCGCCTACACGTGAGGACAGCCGAGCCCTCCTCGCACGTGTCCCGCCCACGTGTCAGGACAGCCCTGGACGGAGACACGGCTCCCACCTCACTCTCCAGGTGGGGCCCTCTGGCTGCTTGGGGGGAGGTGTCACCTGCCCATTAGCTGCAGGACCTCAGCAAGGAGCCTCTGCTTCCTCTGTCCCCACTTTCTGTGACCTCACAACCTCAGGACGGGCTGTACCTCCTGTGCAGGTGGAAGCCAGGTGGCCCAGTCGGGGCGGGTGCGCCATACTCGAACCCAAACTGCAGGGTCTCACCTCCACAGCTGGCCACAGGGTCAGCGCGTCCCCTAGAGGCTGCCCACTGCTGGGACACAGGCCAAGGGCCCCCACAGAGGGGGTTCTAGGGGGGCCACACAGCTGCAGCCCCAAGTCCCTGAATGCAGAGCTAGGGTTCTCAGAAGCTCTTTCTTTCCCCGGCTCCCAGGAGAGTCAGACATCCTCCCAAGCGGAGCTTTGCAGGAGGAAGACGTTCTTGCCGGAGTGTCTATAATGCGTGTACCTGAACGGGCCGGGCCAGACGCACAGTCTGCCGGCCAATTAAACCGGCTCCTCTGTACCGAAGTTTAAACAAGAGCGTGTTGTGGTCCGAACAGTAAAACAAAATGAAACAAACCCTTCCGTGGAGCCCTGGACGTGCGACAAAACCGCAACACCGAGGCCCTTCTGCAGCCCCAGGCGCCCAGGGAGCAGCTCGGACGCCCCGCCCTCTGAAACAGGGGGAAGTCCACCGCGCCCAGCCTCACGCTCCGCAGGCACGGGAAATTCTGAGCAGATGCAATAAAAAACCTTGTTAATCTCTCAGTTCATAAAAAAAGGACCTTTCTCTGCCCCGTTTTTCAGCAGCTGGAAACCGGACCAGCTCAGCCACCGCATGCCGTGGGCGGGAGAAACACATCCTGTCTGCTGGCTTCACAGAACCTGGAGGTCGCCGTGGTAGCCTTGCTCTGTGCCATCTGCCCGAAGTCCCAGCCGGTCTTCGCTCTCTGTGAGCGGCGCATGCACTTGTCCTGAGATCCCCATGAGGCCGGGCTTTCAGCCCCACCCCGGCCTCTCCCTCCTGGCCTCTCCCTCCCGGCAGAACGCGGCCCGTGGTGGGCTGCACGCTCCCAGATGCCCGGCCAATGCTCCCGGATAAGACAGGAAGTGAAGGGCGTCAGGACCTGTGGCTCGCTTGGTACCTGGGTGACGTTGTGGGACACTGGGGCTGTGGCCTGGGGTGGCCGGGGCAGGGGCGGCAGGCAGAGGCAGGGGGCCTCACAGGGACGCGAACCACACCACAAAAGCCAGGAGGGGCAGAGCAGAGCGGCCACACAGTGGTGGCAGCAGTGACACTGTGTACATGTGACCCTCTAGGACCACAGGGCCAGGCCGAGGGCCACAGGACGCCCGGCCCCACTGGGCAGGAGGGAGGGCGTCTAAACGGACCTCGAGTGCTGACACCCTGCGGGCCGCCGGGAGACAGGGAGCCTGCGGCTCAGCAGGGTGTGTCGGGGTGACAGGAGCCCCCGGACGCACCCGCCCTCCCCCGGCTCCTTTCACCCCGGCTGGCTCAGCTCATCCGGCATCAGTGGGCCCTCCGACCAGTCTCTGCCATTGAAGGGGGAGAGGTTGCCTGGCGTGGGGACAGAGCTGGGGCACGGGATGAGGCTCGGCTGCCCCTCCCCACCTGCCCCCCCTCCGGCTGCCACCCACATCCTCCACGGGCCTGGGGAGGCCTGCACACCTGCCACGCAGCAGGACGGGCTGAGTCAGGTCCTCGCTGCGGCCCCAAAACTAAAGCGAGGGCCAGGGGCCGGGGGGAATACAACACTCTCTAAAATAAGATTTTAACTTAATAAACACATCTAGTTTTAAAATCATGTCTCTAAAAGAAAAAGCGAGCTCCATCCATCGGGAACTCTGCCTGTGAGTGTTCCCTGCGTCCCCTGCTGTCCCCTGCTTTGTACTTCTGTGTGACGTGGCGCCCGAGCTAATTTAGGGAAGCTCGCTGCCCTGAGGCCTCAAGGTCTCAGGTCTGCTCTCCCGTCCAGGACCAGTAGCTGGGTTTCCAGCGCCGTGCGTGTCATTTCTGGGCAAGTGAGAATCGGAGGTGCGTTAACCGTGGAGGTACAGAGGAGGCTGGGGCTCTGGGGACAGGGACCTGGGCAATCCCGCTTCTGATTCGCCAGAGCTGGGTGTCTCCACCCCCTGCCCCCCCAGGGCCCCACCCCGTGCAGGGGTGGTGCTGCGGAGCCTGCTCAGACCCCCGCACCCCAGTTCCCGCTGCACCTGCCGGGGTGCTGACGGCGGGATCCTGCTTCCGGGTCCCCAGGGCACGGAGCCCTGGTCATCGTCACCACCGCACACAAGGCCCTGTGGCTCCCTCAGTCTAATTTTGTGAAGAAATCCAACTGGGCCAACCTATCATTTCTGCTCATTTTATACCCAAAAGCCAAAACAGAAAATAAAAGTCACTGGAAAGAGATTCAATTATAAAATGTTTTTTCCCCCATGAAGCTCCAAATGAGATTGAGTAGTCAATTGCAATTAAGGATCTTAGAAACCAAAACTAGTTGGAGTGATCCAAAGACAGGAGACCCTACTCGAGTGAGAAAACTACAGGGAGGTCCCACTGGGGGGGGGCGGGCCTGGAACCTGGCCGGGCACCCCAGGAATCTCAACCCAGACAGGTGCTTCCTGCCGTGGTCCTGGTGAAACCCTACTTGTTTCTCTCCCGTGGCCCTGCCACGGCCCCATCCCCCCAAACCCAAGAAGCAGGGGCTCCTCTTCCCCCTCCTTCGGCACCTGAATTCCGCAGGCCTGATCCCGACCTCACCGAGGCGGCAACGTGCTTCTGGGCTGCGGGGACGGTGACTCGGCTGCCCGCCCCCGACAGCCCCAGGGCCCCAGGCCCTTACCCCTCTCTCCAGGAGCATGTCTCGGAAGTGGGTCACCCGCTCCTCCAGCGGCGGGAGGGTCTGGGGCGGCGGTGTCCTGGGGCCCTTGTCCTTTCTCTGCGGCTCCTCTGGCCTGGGACTCACGTGGCCTTCCGTCCTTGGGGACACCAGACACAGAGAGTTACACGCCCCTGGAGACCCGGCTCGGCCTCCAACCCCCGCTGGGCAACTCTTTATGGGCAAAGACTCTGATTCTCCTCCGGACTCTCCTCTCACACCTGGTGCAGTCGGCCCAGCAGTGGGGTGGCTTCTGCCGGTGCGACGCGAACCGCTGTCGCATTTGGGGCCGAGAGCCGAGACCAAAGCCCCAACCCAGGGCCCCGGTGGGTGGGGCAGGTGGAGGCCCCTGCGAAGGAAGCCCAGTGTCTCCATTTTGCTGCCTCGACCTGGCCGTTGCCCAAGGCACAGGGGCGAGCCTTTCACTGGCACAAACCACCGGGGCCCGCACCCGACTTCGTTGTTTTAGGGGGGCCTGCTTTGTACGAATGTGTGGGGACACTTGTGGGGAAATTCAGCACCAGACAGGGTAGGGAGCGCGTTGTTCTGAGTTCTAACCCAGAGCGTGGATTTCAGTGACAATAGGGACACCAGGACCCTAGGCGTTGGACGACCAAAGTCCCTCACACTGTCACACCCAGGCCATCTGACACCCATCTAGCATGGTGCTGCCACCAGGGGAGCAACTCGGCCCCCGGGGACGTTTGGCAGTGTCCGGAGACATCGGTAATGGTCACAACTGGGGAGGTGCCACCAGCACACGGGGCAGTGGCCAGGGGTGCCGCTGAGCCGTGAGATACATGGGACGGCCCCTCGTGTGGGACACGGGCCCACCGGCCACGGGGGACTCTCAGGGCGCAGGGGAGGTGTGCGTGCCACTGCACTTGGGCAGGCGGGGTGGGACCGCTCGAGGCCACATGGTCAGTCACTCAGTGGCCAGGACCAGGGGCGTCCCCGCCTCCTGATACGCACAAGGACATGGCCTGCCTGTCACTGTCCAGGGCATCGTGAAAACCCACTGGACCAAGCCGGGCAGCTGCTGAGAACATTCCACGTCTAACAGCAGCCCTTGCCCCACAGGGCTTTCCCACACTGGGTCGTGACGCGGGTTAGTCCAACCTGGCGCAGGACGTGCAACCGGAAAACGACAGCTCAGCCGCAGGGAGCCCTGTTTATACGCCAGACGCACAGTAGGACTCACAGTCCCTGCTGCAGACGAGATTCTGTGGAACTTTTATAAAAGAGAGTTACCTGTGGATTTTCTATTGTATGTTCCAAAGAATGTAATTACGATTTCTTCGCAATAAATTCTCATTAGTTAAAAATAGAGATGTGGGAACAAGACTCCCACGGTTGTAACCGGAAACGGGATGAACAAGGGCGCAGCGTGCTGGCCGGTGGCGCCGGCGTGTTGGCACTCACTGAGCATGACATCCCATCCCGAGGCCCAGGGCGCCTGCCAGGCGGCAGGGCGGTCCATTCGGCCACAGGCGGTCCAAGCCCAGCGTGAACTCGCTAAACATGTTGTTGGCGTTCCCATGGCTGAACGCCTCTGGTGCCCGCAACAAAAGCCAGTTCGAACACCTCCCATCGAGCCCAAGGTGGCCCCAGGGCAGGAGGCAGAGCCCCTCGGTCACAGTGTCTGCCCATGTCACGCTGGCCTCCAGGGGAGGGGGACAGTCTCACAGCCTGGCAGCACCTGCGCAGGTGGACGCGCCACTGTGGGAGATGTCCCACTGCACGTGTGGGTGGGAAGGGGCTTTGTCTCGTTCCGCCTTCCCCACCCTTATGGGGGCCCCCAAGTCCGGGGCTGTGGGCCGAGGTCCCTTCGCTCTGCCCACAGAGCCCTCCCCGACTCTGCCCCCCACCGTCTGGAGCAGCAAGGTCCAACCTTGCCCTCTGCCGGCACGCACACTAACTATGAAACCCCTGCGGCACACTAACTATGAAACACACTGTGTTGTGCCGATCTGACAAAAAATAGGTGTGGTTTTGATTCGTTCACACTGGATGGTGATGGTGGTGTTGCCTGTGGTCATCGCTTCCTTATGTCACACTGAAGGGAAGAGAGGCCAGTGCCCTGACTAAGCGGTCAGGGCTCCCAGCCAGCAGGTGAACGCCAGCCCTCCAGGCAGGGGCGAGGCCTGGAGGCTGAGTGCAAGCCCCATGGCCGGTGCTTAACCAACCGTGCGGGGGTACCCACCACACTGGCACCCTGGCAATAGCTCTGCACAGGAGGCTGGGGAGCTTCCTGGCTGGCGAGCGTATCGGGGTACCAGAAGGGGGCACCCCAGCTCCAAGAGCCACAGGCTCCTGCCCCTCCTGGCCCCCGGCCTGGGCACCCTGCCCTTGGCCGTTCCCACATTGCCCCCTTTATGACAGCCCTGTGACCGTCGGTGTGGCACTCCCTGAGCTCTGGGAGGCACCCAGTGAGTCTCGGACACAAAAGGGGGGTCTGGCATCTGAGGCGGGGGAGGTCTTGTAGGACCGAGCCCTGAGCCTCGGGGTGCGCACGGCGCTGCCTCCAGGCAATCGGTGTGAGAACTGAGTGGACCGTGGGCGGCACAGCCGAGAGCTGGCAGACTGTCGGGGCCTGGAGTGGCCAGGCCGAGCATGGGCACAGCTGTCCCTGTCCCCCACGAGGCCAAGGCCGTGGGCGGGGGCAGGCCGCTGCCAGAATGTGGGTCGACTTCGGCTTCTTGTTCCATCCAGTGCATCGCAGGCAATTTCCTCTCTAATGTGCTTTATGCCTAATTTCATTCTGGTTTTTACACCGTGTGACACACTTTTGCTGAACACTTAAATAATTGCGTTATTTTAGATAAATCTGAAGCTCCTAACCCACCGCACACTGGAAAAGCAGGTCTGAACTCTACATGACGCAAAGGTCAGACACAGGCCGAACCTCCGGCGCCACCGGGAAGAGGGTGGCAGCCCCCGTTCCTGTCCCGGGCACGCGTGGGGTCTGCGCCTCCCGCGGGATCTGGTAAACAGGAAACAGCGAGCCATTTGGGACGGCACTCACCAGGAAGCTTACGACCCTTCAGTTATTCGAGAGCTTGGCGTTGTGACATTTAGGAAAATCTCACTGGGACCCGGGTGATTTGCACAACTGACCTGACCTCATTCTGTCTGCATGAGAAAGTCCCGATGGATGGGAGTTGGTTGGGGGGGACTGGGGGTCACAGGGCGGAGGCGGCACCCCCCACAGGCCTTGTTGCCACGGCGCCCGTTTCTTAGATGGCCACAGAGAGTCACACGTGGCCAGAGGGTGCTGAGTGCTTTACAATGAGGAAAAATTATCTTATTTGTGCAGAAGTGTCAGCCCTGATGGACGGATGCCAGAGGCTCTCTTAATGTTTAGGGCAGAGCCGGCACGGCCGACAGCGGCTCACGGACAGAACCCACAAAAAGGCCACGCCCTGCAGCCGGGGTGTCAGCCCTGAGCAAGCGACGCGTGGGTGGCTGCCGGGGAGGGGGCCTGGGGGCAGCTTCCCCCGGGAGAGGCGCCCTGCGTGTGCGCCGGCTCACAGACGTGATGATGGAACATTCTAGGCCCTTGTCCAGCCCCGTGGCGGCCACCAAGGCATTTCCCTCCCAAACCCGGAACGTGGAGGCCCGGGCGGTGCCGGCGGACACACGGCGACCTCGGATCCTGCTCGGCTGCCTCCCGCTCAGGTTCAAAGTCACCCAACAGTGGCGGCATCTCCACTTTCCTTGTGCCTCCGAGAGCACGTCTTGTTTGGAAATTATTTACGTGTCTCCGAGACCAGCAGAGCCCGGCCCGGCCTGTCTCCGTGGTGGGTGTGTACGTGGAAGGGGACGTTGTTCCAAGAGTGACCTTCTAAGGAGAGGACTGGGGGGAGGGGGCACGAAGCAGGGGCCTCCTCTCTGCCCCTCCGTTAGAGGGGACCCCCACCCCCAGGGACTGTGCCCCACTGCAGGGAGGACAGGGCGGACCCTGCCCCGCACTGCTTCTGAGAAGCTCTGGGATGTTTGCTTGCTGTCGGTGAACGTGACGATATTCCCGGGCCCTGAGCAGCGAACAGTGCTTTATGGGTCAGGAGCGGGAAACGTTGTAAAGTGCATTGTGGGAAAGGGCCCGGGCCCGAGACACTGAAGGGCTTTCTGAGCCCGCGGGGTCTAACTCTCTAGGTTTGGGGCCCCTCGGGCGTCCGTCAGAGGGGTGACTCTGCCCCGGGCCCCGCTGCCGGGCACCCGCTGGCCTGGGCTCTCTCCATCTCTCCCTCTCCTGCCCCCACCCCATCATTTTCCTGGAAGCTTCAGGGAGAGAACCAAAGAGGTGAGAATGGGCACAGGTTCAAAGGCAAGATTTCATTTTCCTTTGTCACCGACAACCTCCATTATGGCAGAAGCATTGCTTCTTCCACGGGGCACTTCCTCGAGGGGAGAACGCAGACAGTGCTGGCCTCTCTGCAGTGCTCAGGCCCTTGTCTCAGGGCTCAGGTGCCCCATGGTGGGGGGGGGGGCATAAACAGACTGTGGTAGGAATGGAACGCACCCCCGGGCCACAGCCCGGGTCAGTGCTGACGGGACACTGGGCACCATGGGGACGAGGGAGGGGCCCGTGAATCTGCCCCTGTGGGCCGGCTTTTAGATCCCCCCACCCTCCTCTGCCAAAGATGCCCAGTGGCCACACCATGCCTCTGTCTCTCCCCTTCCAGGGAAGGTGGACATGCGGACCCCAAGTATCAGCCCTCATGTGGAACTCAGTCCTGAAGGCACCACAGACAGATCGGCCAGGAGGGTCCCAGGGTGACGGCGCTTCCCTGGACCTCAGCAGAAGGGCGCTTTCCCACCCCCTCGTGCTGCCCCCACCACAAACCGAAGGCGACCCACGAACTTCAGTGGTGAGCCTCTGCCCCTGAGTGTGACGGGGCGTCACGTGGGGCCACCTCATCCAGGTGCCACTCAGGCTGCCAACAGAAGCTTCTGCTGAAAAACCTGAGATCAGGTGGACTTTGCCCAAAATCACAAAGCGAGTGAGACAGAGCTGGACACCCACCAAGAGCTGCCCAGTCCCAAGCCCACCCCTCGCCCAGTGCGGGCCCCGTCGAGTCCTGCGGCGCTCCAGGAGCCAGGGCGGCTGAGACACCTGCCCGCTGGGACTCGGGCACCCGGAGTCACTGCAGAGACAGAACCCAGGCCTCCCGCCATCGGTCAGCTTCGAATCCCCCTTCGCTCAGCCAGAAGAGGCCAGAGGACCCTTCTCTTTGTACACCGCCTAGTGACCCGCCAAGAACAGATGGAGGGGAAGGACGCAGACACCTACCGGTTCTTCTTGGTTTTCACGGTCGGGTCTTCACTGCCGTCCTCAGAACTCGATCCATCACTGCGGTCGGCTGAAAGAAAGTCCGATTAGTGCGGCGGAGCGTCCGCCCTCAGTGCTATGGCCAGGCTCCAGGACTTCCCTGCAGCCCCACCGGGAAACCAAGAAAACAGATCTCCCTCTAGCATCCATCTCAGACCTGCGACTAAGCTTTCTCTTGAACACTTTAACTTCAGCCAGGAGAGATCCGGTTTTCTCCAGGGCAAGGAGCCACCCCTGGCTGCTGTCCACAGGGGCCGGAGGACGGAGCGCTGAAGGTGGGCGCCCACACCATCACGCCTCAGGACACGAGCCCTGGCTGGGCCCTTCTGGTCCACGTCTGCTGGGCGCCCCTGTGAGTGACCCCCCCGAACCCGGGCCCCTCCTCTGTCCACCTCGCCGCATGATCAGATTCCTCCCACCGGCTGCACGCCCTTCCCTGCTGACTCCGTCTACTTCAAAACGCCAAACCGATTTTGAAGACGGCGCCCCTCCTTCCACCCTGAAGAGGACAGCTCCATAAATGATTGATGAGCTTTGGGGTTGAAAACGTAAATAGGTACTTCGGTGTCTCCCTGTAGTCTCCAGAGGGGAGAGAGGGGGGTGGGCGGCGCTGTGTGGGCCCTGCCCAGCCGGACTGCTTCCAAACGCGTCCTGGCATCTCAGGTGCCCCTCACCCGTGTCCCGTTCTCTGCACTTCCCCAGGATCATGTCCCCCCTGGGCACAGGGGCAGGGGACTCGGCACCCACTGTGCCACCACCCACAATGTACACGCTTCTCTCTTCCTGGAGAGGCTCTGCCCTGAGAACGCAGCTCGTGACCGAGGTAGAGTTCATGGCAATGAGGACATTGGGGTGCCCTTTGCAAACCTGCCCAGGCGTCTGGAGCCCTGGCCCCGCCTCTATCGCAGCGCCTGTCCACCCACAGCCCCCTCATCCACCCACAGCCCCCCCTTCAGCCTGCAGAGTGCAGCTGTGAGGACGCGGAGGAGGTGGGGTCAAGCTGGACCACCCTCATCTTGGCTCCCCCGCCCGCCCAGCCACGCTGCGTCCCGGCACCAAATGCGGTGCTTGTAGCCCCCAGCACCGCCACCCCCCGCCCCGCTCCCCAAAGCCCTGTGCGCGCAGCTCTCTCTGCGTTTCCTGGTGTCCACAGCCTTTGCAATAGAGTCATTCGTGTACACCCTGTGAGAGCCAGCTTCCATCAAAGGTCAGCACGCGGGCGAGAAATGGGAACAATGAACGACATGCAACACCCCAAGAGGCACCCGGGCTCCTTCAGGGGTGCGGAAGACCCAGTGCCCCCAAGATCAGGACTCCCCTGGGTGGTCAGAGGGGTGAGACGGGGCTCTCTGGCCTGGGCAAGAGCCTCTTGCAGCGCTGAGCCGGCAGTGTCCACGGGTGGGCTCAGAGTCCGTGGGCACGTGGTCGCAGGACTGATGGTGCCATCTGTCATTGCAGGGGGTCCTGAGCTCCCTGTGTCCTCACGTTCACTGGGTGCTGGCCCAGGCCCTTCCCCTCCAAGCTCAGCCACAGGGGACAGGCCCCTCCTCAGGGTGTGCTAGGGCGGGGCCTCTCTGCCCCACCCACACTGCCAAGCCCAGGGCTTGGTTTGTCGCCAGAGTTAAGTCCCAGGCCAGTCACCCCTCCCTCCCTCCCGGGTCAGAGGTAGGGCACAGTCCACGGATGGTCTGTGATCCCCCCAAGGCAGAAGTGGGGGGATGGGCAGCGGAAGCCTTTCTCCAACCGCGTCCTCTTGCCAGGCCACTTGGGAGAACACTCAGCATGTCCGTCCTCCGTGGCCCCCGACCTTGCTTGGCGTGGCCCCCGGGCCCCGCCCCAGGTGGAGGTCTGTGTGCTCTGTCCCTGGGCAACCACAGCTCAGAAAAGCCACCTGTCACAGCCACAGCTGCGTGTGCTTGTGGGGACCACGTCTGTCCTGCTTGGTGAAAGGCGTGTCACCGTCAACATGCGTTTGTCTTGGACACAAAAGAGTAAAATGTTTCCAGAGCGGGAGGGGCCAGTGAGGTCGGTGCCACCTCCACGGTGGATGAGTCTGTGTGAAAGAACAAGGCAGCCGCCCTGGCCATCCCTGCCTCAGGCACAGGGACCCAAGTGCTTTTCAGAAGCTGGTTTGGATCGCACGCTCCAGGCACCAGGATGGGCCGCCCTCCTTGAACATGGGCCCGGACCCTTCTGGGTGCCAGTCCGTCATCCCCCATGTGACACAGAGGGACCCTGGTCGAGTCAATGAGCCTCCTCTCTTTAAACCCCTCTGTCACCACTGCAGGCCGCAGGACAATGGTACCCAAGGACATGTGGGCCCTCATTCTGGAGCCTGGGGGTGCATTTGGCTGCATGGCTGAGGTTGCCGGACAGCGGACTCTGGGCGGGAGGCGACCCTGAGTCATCCCGGGGGCCCAGTGCCTTGTGAGGACCCTGGACGTGGGAGTGGCCTTCGAGGCCCGGGCAGAGAGAGTGGTGCTGGTGCCGCTGGGGGCTCGGACAGTGGCGGACGTGCCTTCCACCTCTGGGGCTGGGGGCGTCCCTCCCTCCAGGCCCCCAGGGAGAATGGGGCTCTGCCACCAGGGACACTCGTGCTGGCCTCTGGCCTCCAGAGCCATCAGATAATAAATCCGTGATGTTTGCAGCCCCCGAGTGTGCGGCTGTGCTCCAGCTGCCGCAGGGAGCTCGCTCCGAGGCACGGCCACGGGCACTGCGCTGAGCAATCCTCACATCCCACCCCCGGTCCCTCCCGCGTCCCTCCACCTCTGCAGGTCTGCTACCCGCAGCCACGGCTGACCCACCGGCACGGTCATCGCCCCCGACAGGTGCCTGGGCTGCCCCAAGCCCTCCCGGAGGCAGGCCAGTGTCCCCACGTGTGCAGGGCAGGCCGAGGCTGAGGCCGGGCTGCAGCAGATGTCTGCCCGTCACTCGGAGGAGGGGCTTTGGTGCTGCGGGCAGGCGGCGGCGGCACAGCGCCACCTCTGTGGGGTCTGAGGAAAGCCAGTCCTGGTGGGAACAAAAGTGTGTGTGGACGGACCCCTCATGGCTGATGGTAGTTTCCACTCACAACGGGTTTGTGGGGGTGTAACCCCATCACAGACCGAGGAGCCTCTGTACCCTTGAAGTGCAGGGTTCCCCACAGCCCGTGAACCCCAGCACGTGATGGAGGAAGGGAGGGCTGGGCTCTCCATCCCACTGTGACTCAGGCATTTACCCTCCACTCCCCGCATGGCTGCTGGAGCCGTAAAGAACCTGCACGCTCACGAGATGATCAGAAAGCAGCCCAGGCCTCGTCTACATCTCTTGGCGATGCTGCCAGAGCGGAAGAGGGGCATCGTCGTCCTCCGGGGGCAATGGGCGGCTCAGCACGGCCAGCACTTTGCCCACGGCCCCAGAGCGGCCACGAGCTCGGCTCCCACCCTGTGCCTGCCACTTCCAGTGAGCACGCAGGTGCACACACATGTGCACATGGGGTGTGCAGCCACACACAGGTGTTCACACGTAAATGTGTATGTGCATACGCGCACATCCCATGTGTGGACGGTTGTGCAGAAACATGTGCACGCATGCATAGTGTGCGCCTATGTGGGTGTTGGTGCAGGAACACGTGTCCACATGTGACACGTGTGCGTGCACCATGCACCTGCACATGGGCGCTCGTACAGGAGCATGTGCATACACACATGCACGCTGTGCGCCTGCGCGTGGGTGTTTGTGCAAAAACATGTGTGCTACGCAAACATCTGTGCACATGTGTGGGCATGCACATGCACGTGTGTGGATGCATGCAGGCACGTGCACACAGCCCTGCACACACAACTCCAAACCTAACAGCAGCTAAATGTGGTCTTATCTTATAGGATTAATTCACTTTGCTTGTTTTGAAAACTACTGTGTGTCAACCGGAAGGCCTGCTCGTTCCCGCGCAGACTAGACACAGGTGTCACTGGGTTCAAATCTCCCATAGTTAACAAAATAGTGAAATCTCCACCAATCACAGTCTCTCCTAGAGCTGGCGCTCACACTAATTAGGGTCAAATCATCTCGCGGGTCCTGAGGGATGGCCAGCCAGGGCTGGAGGTCATCAGCTCTGCCTGGTACTCGCTAATTATCCCTGCAAACACCTCAGGCCCCCACTGTTCTGCTGCAACCAAAACGATTTGAGTGGATCTTAGGACATTAGAAGTCACACATTTAAATGGCAACTCTCCCCTGCAACAGGAAGTTGAGAAGTGAGGCCATTAGCAACTCATTAAGATTCAGGTCTTAACATGACCGCCGCGGGAAGACCTCCTCTAAAAGAGAAGGTGAGGGTGAAACGGCGGTAACTGTGCTGTGCACACTTGCACCGCCGCCGTCTCGCCGGCCGGAGCACAGGGCACCGCACAGGGCACCGCACAGGGGGGCGGGAGACAAACACCGCAGCAGATCAACTCTAAACACCCCGGACGTTCCTGGGGCGTTTGAGAGGTTCCGGGCTCCATTCTCCCCCTCTGTCGGCATTAAATGAGATTCGTGGTCCCAGAGTGACATGGAGCCTGGACGCAAGTGACTCGGGTCCCCGTGGCCACATCGGTTAACCGAGAGGCCATTAGATGGAGGAGGGGCTCAACACAGGGGTCCTTCCAGACGCGGAGGGACGTCTCAGCTGGTGTCTGCCTGGGGGCGACCATCACAAACAGCCAGCAGGCTTCCGAGTGCAGCCAGCCACGGATCTTCTTTCTTTGGCCCACACTCTAGTCTTTCCCTGTGGGCAGAGCACCCCAACTGCTTCCAGTTTGATGCTCCTGGGTAAGAGTCTCTTTGCCGAAACAGACTCTTGATATTTGTGATGTGCCTCCCTTGATCTGTTACCGCTGCCCACTGCCCAGGGCCCTCCCAAGCCACAGACCGGCAGGTGACTCATGGGGGGCCTGTAGGGGTGGCCCCGGCTCTCTTGGATCTGGCCAGTTTGCTCTAAGTGGGAGAAAAAGGACAGCAAGTGTGTGTGGGCTGCAAGGAGCTAAGGTCCTTCTCGCACCGACCCGGCTCCAGAGAGATAAACCGATGAGAACAGTACCCGGTCACCTACAGAACGCAAGCTGAGCAAGGGGCAAGGAGCCTGCCTGCAAGACCTGCCTTCCACCAAGCAGGTAAAGCTGTGGCACCAGTGCACCTGCCCTTTCTCATGTACTGTGTGGTCCCCGAAGATCCCCACCCCCCACAGGTTCTCTGCCCCAGAGGACGGACCTCGGGGACGGTGTCCTGTCAGGGTCAAGCCCTCGTCCGCCATCCAGCTGTTCCTCTTATACGTGGGTGCCAGTCAACCAAAAGGGGACCCAGTCCCAGTTTCCCCCCTCCAAGTACTAAGCCTGACCCCGTTTAGCTCCCGAGGTCCAAGGAGATCGGGGTGTCCGGGGTGGCAGGAATGTAGCCTCACACCCCCAACCTCTGTGGCCCTGCACGCAGCCCAGGGGGAGCAGAGCCCGTCACCCTACAATGAGCCTCTTTCAGGTTTGGAGTATTTGGAGCTGGTTATTTTAATGAAAAAAAGGACTCACAAAGAACCTTTGACCCTTAATTGCCAAAAACATTGTAGCCAGAAGACCTGCTCCGGAAGGCAGCTTCTCACATCAACCACGGTTAACACGAAGAGAGAGGCGCTCGCTCTTTAGACCGCAGACTCACCACCGAACGCTGGCTCTGCCATCCCCTGGTGAGCCACCCAGCTGCCCTCGGGGGCCCCACACCGCAGCCCCTTCCCCTCAGCCCTGAGCAGCGCAGACCCCCAGGGCCTGGCTGTGCTCAGGCCCCGATCCTCGTGGAACCCGGCGCACATACCCTGTGCACACACCCTGTGTGTCTGCCCCACGCTCGTTCAAGGGGGCGCCCAGCAAGAACTCAGGGAGGTGGGAGGAAAGGTGCACCCTCTCCCCAGGGAGCGAGGAGGATCGCAGAGCCCCCTAACCACGCACCCCGAGTGCCTCTCCTTTCCCAGCCCCGCCAACTCCGGCTCCCTGGGCTGCTCTCGTTGCCTCACGGGACGTGAACACACGTAACCTGCCAGCTTTCCATCTCAGCACACGGGCCCAGGCCTCAAAAACACAGCCACCTCCATGTCCCCTAGAGCTGTGACCGTGTCAGGAAAGCATTGAGAACACCACGTCCTGAAGCCCCAGTCAAATGCCTCTGCATCCGGTGAAACTGGGCTGTGGGCGCCCATGTGCGCCCGCCCGCCTGCCCGCGAGGAGGCTGAACCAAAACTGCCACTGCCAACCCAAGAGAACAGCCCGAAAAATACAGCACCACCCGTCTTCCCAGGGGTCCAGCGCCGCCTGTGAGGGTGGCACCGAGCTGACCTTCAGTCCCCCCGGGGTGGCCCGTGGGCTCAGGGAGGGGCCCCCCAACACCGCAGCTGATCGGAACTGCAGCAGGGCTCCCGGCAGGGTCCTTTCTGAAGGGGCTGGGTGTTCTCCTCTGGCCCCGGGAACAGGACTTGCAGGGCCTGTCAGAGGGGGCCGGCCGTGTCCCCCCGGCACGGGGCCCCCTGAGTTCCAGGACCCTGTCACACAAACGAGGGACCGTTTTGTGCACAGGTGGGAGGAGAGATTCGATCTGTGCATGTCTGGCCCCTGCGTGGGCTTCAGAAAACATTCGGAAAACGCGAACTGCTGGCCCACGGGGGTGCTGGGAGGACCCTGGCGAGACCAACAGCATGAAAGGCTTTCTCTGAGTTGAAAATGCACCCGAGCGAAGACGGACCTTGGGAAGGAGGGACCTTTCTGCAGAAAGCACCGCGGAACCTGAGCCCCTCAATCCTGCGATAGTGACCACGGTTCCTGAGAAGCCAGCCCCCCCACAGCCGGGAAGACCCCGCTCCCGGGCACAGGGCCCCCGCGCAGGCCCGCGGCCGGCTACCTGCAGCGGCGCCCCGCTTGCGCTTGTGCGGCGGGTCCCGGATGATCCTGTTGAGGTCCCCGCGGTGTCTCAGGTCCACGGGCTTCTCCCACACCGACAGCTGCATCGTCGGGTTGAAGAAGAAAACCCGGTCGTCGCCCGTCCAGACCACGCACCTGTGCCGATGCAGACACGCACCTTAGTGACACTCACCTGCGGTCCAGGCGCTGCAGCTCCCTCCCCGGGCCTCTCCAGTGCCCTGGCTTCCGAAGACAAGGGACCACTTCCCATCGTCAACCGTCAAGGGAACCCGCTAACCTGACGTCCAGGGTCCTCCCTGCTGCCCGCACTTTCCCCGAAGAACCGGAGGTACTGAGACACCAGGAAACACGCATTCCAAAAAGTCCCCTGACAGCGAGGCCGCTAATGTCCTTTACCAGGTGGACACCCTCATTTTCTCACCGAGGTGCTGGGGCATTTGCCCGTTGGGTCAAGTTAACGTAGGGAAAGTTCATTGGACCTATGAAAGAGGCTTCACATTTGGGAATTTACGGGGCCCAGCTCTGTCCCGATGCTGGGCTGTTTGCTGTACATCTGCCACGTTGGGGACGCACCACTTCGGAGCCCCAGTGCCAGGCCCAGAGACACCCCCACGACACTGGGCATGGGGAAGGGCCAGCGCCTGGAGCCCCCAGGGCAGGGAAGAGTCACAGCTCCCTCACTTCCACACCACCGAGCTCCTGCAGCCAGGGGAGGGTGCGGCTGGTCGGGGGCTTCACAGGGGCTCCCCAGGGGACAGCGGAGAGATGATGACCAACACGGCGCAGTTCTCTCCGGACATGGGGCGCCCAGCATCCTTGCCACAGGGACACGCGCAGCTGAGCCGGACCGTGGGAGGCAGCACAGGTGCACAGGGGACTCCCACTGAGAGCCCCGCCCGGCCGGACACAGGCAACGTTAACTACCTGTCGTTTCACGCCCCTTAAAAGCAATGCCTCAGAGCTCCCCTTGGTCGGCCCCACCATGTACCTCTCGGATGGTGGACGCCCTCCCTCCATCTGTCCCCACCCTCCAGGGCCAGGCTCGTGCGCCCCAGTCATTTCGGTCTGGCACAGGACGTCCCCACATGGCCCTAGTTGGCGGTGTCTGCGTTTTCTCAAACACTGGACTCGCCACTTCATTCCACGGGAGAACTGGTGCAGCCGCCTCCAATAGCAAAGCCACCTGTCTAGGGGCGGCGGTTCTGCTTCTCTCCGAGCTTCAACCTCACCCCTGCAGGGAGAGGGGGGATGTGCCTCCCACCTCCCCCCACAAAGGCTCCCTCTGTGCTTTGCCCTGGAGTCCTGTCCCAGAAGTGTCCCCTGGACGACAGGGCCCGGTGTTCCCCGGGTCCCACCCCTGGGCTGAAGTCGTGGGCCTGAGAGGCAGGGGCTTCCTTCTCTCCCAGCCTCATTGGGCCCACGCCTGTCTCCAGGGCGGGGCTGGCCTGGTTGGCCTGGCAGGTCCGGCAGCCCCAGGCTGCTCTTCCAATGAAACCACAATCAGAAGTGAAGCCCCTGCCAGGTTCTGGGGGTCACTGCGGTGAGCTATGGCACCTGAGGGGAGTAGTGGGGACCCTGGACTTGCAGTGAGCTGGGCAGGGGGCCAGGCAGCCTGAGGGCCCTGCGCGTGGCTGGGTCTGAATGGCAGGCATCTGGGGGACTGGCCCCTTAGCCTGCGGGGTCAGTTGGGGGCCGTGTCCGAACCCAGTGGGCTATGGGGTGCTCATCGGCACAATGTGAGTGTAAGAGGGCCCCTCCGGGGGTGGCCCTGGGGTGCAGAGTGGGTTCTGGGGGCAGACGGAGGGCGGAGGCTGCCAGTGCTCTGGACACTGACCACAGACAGGACAGAGAAGGGGCAATGCCCGCCACTGCAGACACCGAGCAGGCCATTGGGCGGGGCCATGGGGAAGGACGGTGCCCCGCCTGCCCCTCCGGCGTCGCGGCTCCGGGACTCACCCGGGACTCACCCGGGCTGCCGGCCGACGGTGCCTGGCGCCCCTGCCCCAGCTCCTCCCGGCCGCATCCTGCTCTCTGACCTTCAGGTCCTACAACTACCTTTCCCTGCAGTAACCTTTTCATTGTGCTTCCAAATCACTCTGGGATGAAAGGACATTTTGAGAAACCAAAGACGGGACTCGAGCACAGCGGGTATTTGGAGTGTGGCATTCTTGGAGGCAAGGCCGCCGGGGAGAGGTGAGCCACCGGACCCTCGTCCTGCAGCAAGGAGGGCCCCTCAGGCTTGGGGCCCACCGCGATCTCTGCAGACCCCGGGTCTGATGCCTATGCACCAGCGTTATTAGTTTAATAAATATTCGCAAATGCATCATGGCAGAATCTCATCTCTTAAACCCCATTCCCCTCCTGCAGACCGTGACAAGGGGCAGAGCTGTACCTGCCGTGGGATGCAAATCCATCTTGAGCCCCAATCCCACCTAAGGAGCAGGCGTTTCCCTTGGGGCGACAAGACAAGGCCATTTCTCATCCCTCCCGGGGTCCAGGGCCTCTTACCAGGGGGAGCCGGGCACCGGGGCGGAGGCCACCGGTCTGCTGCCTTTGGCCACGCGGTCCTCTCCTGTCACTAGGATCGATGGAGGGTCCTTTCGACAGAGAGAAGGAGAGAGCCTTTTCTATGTGTATTTACACACTCGTCTTCATTACAGGCAGCCAAGTGGAAAGGAGCAATCCTCCTGCGGCAGACCTGCCTGCGGGCGCTGCGAGACCTTGACCTGCTCAGAGCAGCAGAGCAGAGGGGCCAGCAGGTTCGCCACGCAGGTGGAGTCTGCGGTGCTACAGGCCGTGGGGGGGGGGGCTCCCACAATGGTGCCCCCTAATGATCCCAAACAAACTAAACAAGCCGCTGTGCAGACCCAAGGCAGGTGGACCCGGTCCGGACATGCCCCCGGTACCTTAACACCCCGGCACAGGCAAGCCCACTGGCTCCGTCTCCGGAAGCAGGCTGGCTGCGGGCTGGAGTCACCATGCCACCAAACTTGGCATTCACTGACACAGAACCCCGAAGCCACGAGGGGCCCTGCGTGCCACTGGGGCCGGCACGTCCTGGTGCCTTGAAGGCAGGAGGAAGTGACAAGCCCAGGTCCCCGCGGAGTCTGGGTGCACCAGGGACAGCCCACCTTCCTAGAGGGCCTCGCTGGGGGCAGAGTTCAAGGGGCGTGACACCCGACAGGGAAGTCTGTGCACGGTTGGGTTTGAAAAACAACAGGTGTCTATATCACCATTTAGAAAATAAAGGATGTTTGAGCACCCCCCCCAAAAAAACGAAGATTTATTCCCTCAAATTAAAAAGGAAAAAAAGAAAGACCCCACGTGTCTCTGAGAGCCAAAGGGGAGACAACCCCCAACACGTAAACAGTGATCTGCTCACACCGTGGGCAGCAGGGGGGCCGCAGCCTGGAGACACCGTCCCCCTGAGGGCCGCTGCTGTCAGTACTGGGCGGCAGCGAGGCAGGACGAGAAGCCCACGGCCCTTCATGCCCTGCAGCGGGAAGCCACTCTGGGTAAACAGTTGGCAATGTGTACAGACACCCTGGGCTTGAGAGTGTCTGAGGACAAGCTGTCCTAGAAGTTCCGGGCGGTGGGAAACGGCTGTGCTCCCTGTGACAAAGCAAGGTCCCGAAGGACAAGAGACAGAGTGGGGAGTGCTCAGCAGGGCTGGCCTTTGCAAAGGCACTGAGACCGCGTTGATACTGCTAATCCAGCAAGAAAACAAGGGGGCGTTTCATCACGAGGCTAACGGAACAGCGGCGACCCCACGAGGGTTATCTCCTAATTACTCGAGGAAATGTGGGGGCTGTGATCTGTGACAGGACAGACCCTCAGTCTGGCGACCTGGATTTCCCAGCCCCTGGTGACAGGGGCCTGTCCCCAAGGCCTCACAGGCCGCCACAGTTCCCTGTTGGTGGTACAAAGGCCAGTCAAGGAACAAGCTCCCCTCTTGCACTGAAGTGGAAAACATGAGGGAGACACGCAGGGCACAGTGACCGGGGACGTGGGGATGTCCCCACAGAGACCACCAAGTAACAGACATTGTCTGTTTTCTCCCAAATGGACCCTCCATCTAGGGACCTTCTGGATGCGAGGGACATTCAGGGTCAGCCTGCGCCATGTCCTCAATGCTGAGATGGAGCGGACACCAGCAGCCCTGCTGGGAACATCTCAGATGGGGAACTGTCCCAAAACCAGTGGGGATGGGGACGCCACAGGGCAGAGACATGGCCGACCACGGTGAAGGGAGAGGGGATGTCCCCACACTCTGGTCAGGCCCGCAGCCTCCCACCTGTGTGACAGATCGGGGGCTCCCAGCTCCACCTGGATGTTCCAACGCGGCTGTGAAAGCCAGTCTCTCAGGTCAGGCATGTGACGGTGACGTACCGGGGGCATTCACGGTTGGCGTTTATAGTGCCGGCCGGCAATTGGGCAAATGTAAGGAGGCCTAAGACTAGAACATGCCAAACACAGAAAACAAGCGTTTTCTTCAAAAATCAAAACCAAACCAACCGCAGTGTCTGCTCACAGTCCGGCCACTCTGTGTGCACGAGTTATAATGTGGAGACAAGGACAGGGTGCCCAGGGAGACCCCAGGCTCGTCTGAGCAGAGCGCCGCCCAGCGAGCTCTGGGCCCCAGGCCCCTGCAGGAAGGCCGGCCGCCCTGAGAAACCTCCGTGACGCTCCTTCTTCCCTGGCGTCCCCCACGGCTCCTGGCTCGGCCATCTCGCACAGCGATGGGTCAGACGTCGCACCGCCCAAGGGCCACGTGGGAAAGCCCGCAGGAGGGGTGCAGCCCAGGCCCCCCAGCCAGAGCCCCGAGTCCTGAGACTGACCTGGTGTCCTGCGCCGCTGGCCGGGCTCTTCCTGTCCGCGGGCAGCAGCAGGCCGGGAGGGCAGGGCGTGCGGGCCCTGGCCCTGCCTCTCTCTGCGGGACCAGAACAGAAGCTGTTAGTGCTCACCGGTCAGGTCAGTCTGGGAAAACCAAACGAGGGTGGGAGTTCAGTCAGCGCACAAACACCACACACACTGGGGACGGCACCGTCACGTGGCCTGGAGGGCGGACTCACAGCCAGTCTCTCCGCTGGCTCCTCTGGGCCCCATCCGCCCACTGCCAGCCACGCACGCTAACCAGGCCGTGCCGGCCACAGCTGGGAGGGATCCGTCGGTTCCCCAACAAGACAAGGGGCCCACGAGAGCCTGGCCGTCCTGCCCCCAGTGGGCGTCTGTGCCAGGGACACTGGGGCCACACGGCAGGGCCAAGGGGACAGCCCTGGACTCAGGCCACATGTCCAGGCTCCACAGAGGTGCTGCGTCTGGACAGGCAGAAGCAGGCAGAGCCACGGGGCCCCTCCGGCCGTCAAGGGGAGAAACGAAGGGACAGAGGGTGCCGTGGCCACAGGGAGGTGTGCTGTCCCCCTGTGGCCAGGGCCACACAGGCTGCTCCTCCACACACAGGCAGCCCTGGCCACCAAGCTCCAGGCAACTGTGACCACCACTGGGAATCCAGCCTCGGGGCCCAGCTGTGCCAAGCTCGGCCTGTCCCAGGCTCGGCCCTGGGGGAGGGGCCCTCTGCACAGTGTGGCGCTGGGCAAGCGAGCCTGGCTCGGGGCCCGCCCTCTGCTTGGTGGTCTCTCGTGGTGCCGGTGGGGCCTGTGGGAGTCGCCCCCAGCGCCCACTGCTTGTCAAGGCGTCGCGGTCGGTTGGGGGCGCCTGCCACTGCTCTCTGCAGGCTCCACACAGGGCCAGGCTGTCCCCACCCCGATTTCCGTGTCTGCAGAATGGACTCAGTGGGTCCCTCTATCTCTGGTCTGAGAGCAGGGACTGGGTGGGCAGGGGGCAGGGACACAGCCGTTTGCTGTGACTCAAGTTGAATGTCACAGACGCTGAGGCCCTGCTGGGATGGGGGGTGAACAGACACATGACACAGCGACCTGGGGACCTCAGGAGAGTGGGCTCCACCCGAACTCACAGGCCCACTCCCTCGGGGTCCCTCGGGGTCCCTCGGGGCAGGTGGGGACCCCCCTCAGGGACAGATGCCCGGCACCCACGGCACCCACGGCACCCACGGCCAAGCCGCTCTGACCTCACTTGCTCTTCGGTGCTCAGGAGGCCGCGGGACAGGCGGACACCTGGTGACCCGAACGCCCAGCCACCCTCAGCCCCGGTGTTTTCTCCTCCAGTCACACAAGCCATGAAGCAGCAGCGGGGGAACAAATCAGACCAATGACGGACAGGCTCTCCGGGCCCTCCGCCCCCCACCCCCCAGCGGACCCCGTGCTGTGTTGAGGGGTCAGGAGAGCTGCGTCACAGCCTGAGCTGGGCCTGGGGCCCGGGGCCTCTCCTGAATGAAGCACAGGATGTCTACAAACATTCAAAAAGCTGCTTTTTAAAAAATTATTAAATGCCCTGGCTGCTGTGGCTCAGTGGATTGAGCTTGGGCTCTGAACCAAAGCATTGCCGGTTCCGTTCCCGGCGGGGGCACAGGCCTGGGTTGTGGGCCGGGTCCCTAGTGGGGGCCACGTGACAGGCAACCACACGTGGGTGTTTCTCTCCTTCCCCTGTCTCTATAAATAAATGAAACTTTTTTAAATTATTAAAATAGAGAACTTATGCAGACAAACTAAAATAGTCTAACTTGTCAAAAAGGCATCAGAAATGTGTCGGAATCTCCAAACTCAAAGGGCGATTCTGAAACTCAGTCTACTTTTAACTGACGAAATATCTTCTTCTCTTGGTCTCAGTTTCCTCATCTATGAAATAATGTCCTGAGTCCCTTCCCAGTGATTCCGGATCCCAGCAGCCCGCAGGACACCGGAGCCGTCAGGGGTGTACCCAGGAGAGACGCACGACCAGAGGAGGAGCCTGGGACGCCACTGAGGGCTCGCTCCCCCCGGCTCCCTGCTGGGGCCCAGCCGCTGCCCCAATGGGACGAGCCCCGCGGAGCCGGGCCGAGGAGGGGCTGAGCCTTTCCATTCCGAGAGGCCAGTCGTGGCTTCAGACAGACTGTTCCCGGGGAGCCAGCCTGCTCCAAGGAATCTGTAATTAGGGGGCGCATCTCCTCTTGGACTGAGAGGACTGAGAAGACCCCTGGCCCCCAGGTGGTCAGTACCTCATGACCCTGCAGGTGCTGGCAGGTGGGAGGGGACAGTGGGATGACAAGTTCCTGGGGTTGCTGCCCATCGGCCGTTGTGAGAAGGGTTCACAAGGAAAATCCACGCAGCGACCCCGTGCCCCCTGGCCTCCGCCTGCAGCCAAGAGAGGGACTGCAGGGACTAGCTCAGCACACAGGTCATCGCTGCAGAACCGTGGCCTGGGATGGATGACTTTCCCCACGACCTCTGTCCTTGGAGAGACCCGCATGGGACGTGGGGTGGAAAGACACAGCTTGGAGTGGCCGGGGCTCCGTCTGTCGGCTGCCACCCGGTGGCGCTGTTTCCAGACGTGGGCGTTCCCACCACCCAGAGCAGCCCCCACACCACCCACTCTCGGGAACAGCCTAAGAAGAATGACGGGCGGAATTGGAGTCCGACTGCCTCCCCTCCCACCTGGGGGTCCCCCCGCCAGCCCCACCTCAAACGAAGTCCTGCAACGTTCCAGCCAGGCAGGAGCCACCGGCTCTGGGAGCACAAAGGAAAACAGGCTCGTTGGGTCACTGCGCAGGTTACACAGCAAACCGCCGGGGAGGGCTCACGCTGCCTGCCAGTTGAGGCAGGGCTCCTTGAAAAATTTGATAATAAGGGCAAAATGCAATTTATGTTTAAGATAATAAAATGACACACTCATGCCCACTGAACGTGGCTCTGAGGGGGCCTGCAGAGGACACTGACCTGTGGGCCTGCCTCCCCGAATGAGCCGGAATGTGGAGGGAGGGGGCCCCTGGCGAAGGCGGCCGGAGCCCCGCTGCCGCGCTGCCGCCCGAGTGGTGCATCAGCACGAGCTGCCGGCCCAGGACGCCAACGAACGGGGGAGACGCAGCGGACCCCAGAGGGCCGGGGGCTGAGGCAGGTGGGTGCAAGGGAGGCCTGGCTACCGAGTAAGGGCAGCCCGGAGCAGAGAGGACGCCCCTTGACCCCCCTTCCCTTAGGGCCTGCCCACCAGGGGTCCCGAGCCCAGAGCACAGGCCGTAACCCTGTCCTTGTGACTCGGTCACTATGTGCTCCTGCGGCTGAGCAGTTCCCAGAACACGCGGGACCCAGCAACCACCCTGGACCCCCACCTGCACCCCCCGCCCTGCAGAGGGGGGAGTCCTCAGGGAGCCGCCCCTTTCTGTGCTTCAGGGAAGCAAGGCCCCCGGCGTGACGGGGCACAGAGGCGGCGAAGCCTTGAACGACTTCACCAGGACACGAGCGGCCCTGGGTGGTGCCCACTCCGTCACTCGCTGGTTAAGGAGGGACCCCTGGGGGGCACTATAGGCTCCTCGCAGCCACTTCTGGTCCCACCACAGAGAAGCGACCGCCAGCAGGTCTGAAGCCCTGACCGCGTCACTGTGCCCACGACCCTAGTCCTTCCTGAGACAGAGTTGCAGCTGCAGCTTCAACTTTGGGTCAAAAGCGCGTGTGAGCACAGCTGTGCCCAGCTGGGCACAACACGCATCCAAGGCCTGGGGCTGCATGTGACCTGCCAGCCGTGTAGCCAGGGCGTCGGGTGAGGAGTCAAGGGAGCTGGGCAGGTGGTGAGGACCCACGACGGCATGGTCAGAGACTCTGGGACAGTGACACTAAGCTGAGACCCCAAAGACGGGGAGTGACAGGGGTGAGGGGCAGAGGCATCGTAAGGAGACGAGGAAGAGCAAGTGCAGAGTCACTGAGGTGCCGGGGACGCAGCTCCCACCCCAGGGGCCGGGGCCAGTGAGGGAAGACAGGACCCGGAGGGGGGGGGGGGGACCGAGGCCTGACCGGGGTGACGCCCGTCACCCCCTGGCCTCCCGGTCTGGACAGCACAGGGAAAGCGGAGCACGTGTGAGGACGCACGTGTGAGATTCTCACTACAGAGGACGCCCCGTCCATACACAATGTATGCAGTGTACGTGTAGAGTTTTCACACGTGGTGACCACGATCACATTTTATTTGCACAGGAAGCCTGTTTCCAAGGCCGCTTTCTGCCATCAGCACCATTGCGTGGAAGAGAGGGGACCTCCCGGTGGCCGGGACCCTCCGACAGCGCGAAGATTGAGTGCACGGCCCCAGGTGGTGCGCTCGCCAGCTTCATTATGTTAGAGTGTTCACGCCTCGGGTTTTAAAACTTCCTCGAAGTACCTACGACCTCCAGGTATGCACGGAGCAGAAAGGCCCAGCTGAATACGTTCTGTTCTGACCGTCGCTGTGGGAATTTATCGAAGGGAAGCATTTCTGTGAAGAAGGGGGATTCCGAACGCAAGCAGGGGTCACGTAAACACGAAGCGTGTGAGGCCCCGTCTGTGGACTAGGAATCACGGTCACTGAGCATGTCCCACTATTAGTGACGTCTGTCACCTTGAAGCTGTGTCCCTGGGCCTCCAGCTTCGACGCAGCCCAGGACAGGGGCCCTCAGGGCTCAGGCCCCTCCACACACACGCACCACCCAGCCGTCCGGGGGACCCTCACTGCTCCCTGGTCCGCGTGGTGGAGACAAACTCAGTTCTGGGGCCGCTGGGACCCCGCCCACCCCACCAGGGAGCCAACCTGCTGTGGGGTTCGGTTAGAGCCCCGGCCTGGGACGACCCAGAATCGGGCAGGGGAGAATGCAGCCACCCGGCCCGGGGACCGGACTGGTGTCTGGCTCAGCACGGAGGCGAGGCTGGGACTCGGGCAGGCCCGAATCAGGGCCAGAATCAGAGCCCGGCTCCGTCCCCCGCTCCCCTGAAGTGTGGGGACACTCACCCGCCCTCCCCGAGTTCCATTTCTCCCAACAGAATGAGCAGAAGGGCCTCTGTCACAACCGAATGC